AAAAAAAAAAAAGAGAGAGAGAGTATGGTGTTGCAACAAGAAAAACGCTAGGTTTCAATGCTTGGAAACCCTAAGTATGAATTAGTTTTCATCAGCACTACTAATGTGTTTTCTCCAATAGGCTGGACTAGAAATGCAAGAAGAGAAATACTGTTCTAAGGCTAAGGATTCTCAAGGCCTGTGTGATGGTAGGATGAAAAGAAGAAATTCACATCACAAAACTTCACCCTGAGTTGGACAGTCAGAGGTGCCTCTCTTCTAGGCTTTGTGAATGCCCTCTATCACGAATTATATTGCTCAATAACCATCTGATTACATACCAGTCTCCTTTTGAGACTGTCTGGATATCTGAGTGCCAGGTCATGTTGGCAGCTGCATCTGACTGTACTTAAATAATGGCTAATGTTGGCAGGTACTGAACAAATGTTCGACTAGATGCTGTGGCATAATCCTTTTCTACACTGTGAAGATATGTCACTGGGGTTGGTTTAATAAAAAGCTGATTGGCCAGTAGCCAGGCGTGAATTATAGGCGGGACAACCAAACTAGGAGAATGATGGGAAGAAGAGGGGCGGAGTCAGGGGAGATGCCAGCCAGTTACCAGGGTGTTTATTTGGGATTTGCTGGCAGGACAAAAACTTCTGCCTACAAGTAGGAGGATAAAGATTCAAAGTCATCCTCAATTACATACCAAGTTGGAGCCCAGCCTACACTATAAGACTTTAGCTTAAATAAAAAAAACAAACAAATAAGTAAATAAATAAATAAATGGAACATGTGTAAGTAAATAAGCAATTGTAAATTGTTTTATACTCAGAAGGAAACAAACAACACAAGGGTAGATACACACACACACACACACACACACACACACACACACACACACACACACAGTGGGAGATCCATAATTTTGATAAGGTAGCCAGGAAAATCTTTTCCAAAACACACACACACACACACACACACACACACACACACACACACACACACACACACACACCACACACACACGGGGTGGGAGATCCACAATTTTAATAAGGTAGCCAGGGAAATCTTTCCCAAGGACCATTTAAGCTAAAATATGAAGAGTGATGAGTTAAGGCAGCTTTTTCATCACAGCAACAAAATGCCTGAGAAACTAAACTAAGGAAGGCTTTAAAGATTTGTTTTGGCAGGCTGGGCGGTGGTGGCGCACACCTTTAATCTCAGCACTCAAGAGGCAGAGGTAGACAGACCTCTGTGGTTTGAAGCCAGCCTGGTCTACACAGGGAGTACTAGGACAGCCAGGGCTACAGAGAGAAACCCTGTCTCAAAAAACAAACAAACAAACAAACAAACAAACACAAAGCCACTTGTTTTGGCTTAGTTTCAGAGGTGTCAGTCTACCTACGCCTGTGTTATTTCGGGGACCATGTATTTGTAAGACAGATCACCATGGTGGGAGCATGCAGTAGAGCAAAATGATGCATTTCACTGTAGATAGGAAAAACTGGTGTAAGACAGGCAGAGGCTGGGAACAAGGTACATTCTTCCAAGGCACACACCTAGTGATGTTCTTCTACAAGAGTCCCCACCTCCTAAAGAGCCCATTTAGGAGGCCAATATCTTCATGATCAGTTACTCTGCAAGAGCAACACCATGGGGCCAACCCTTCTAATGAGCCTTGGGGGACATTTTACATCTAAATCATAACAGAAAGAATCAATGAAGGAGAAGGGGGAGACTCTCCAGGCCAAGGAAAAAACACATGCAAAAGACCCAACTCAGAAAAGGGCCTCACCCTTCAGGATATCAATGCCAGTGCTGAAGAAGCCACGGCAGTACTCCTTAAGCCAACCTTGCAGGCCAAGCAAAAAGCTCCAGAGAGCCACAATTCAGCCCTGAAGCCTCGATCACATCCTACTTTCTGCCTTTTCCTTCATATCATTCTGACTCCCTTAACAAGGACATGAGGAAACTTCTTGATTTCTTTCAGGCACCCTAACACTACCAGCTACCTAGAGCCTTTGATTCTAAAATACATAAAACCACAAATAGAAATCATTTGAGAATAGAATTTTAGAGGGAATACATAAGACTTCAAATGAGCCATAAAGAAATCTTAATAGACCAAAACCTTGTGACATTTCTTGAAAAACTAGAGATCTTAATTCAATATCCCCAAAATTCAACACCACCCTAACAAGTTCCAGCACAAGTTCTAAAATAAAACAATCTTCACGGCAATATGGGGTGTTTTTTGTTGTTGTTGTTGTTTGTTAGTTTGTTTATGTTTTTTCAAGACAGGGTTTCTCTGTGTAGCCCTGGCTGTCCTAGCACTCACTATGTAGACCAGGCTGGCCCTGAACTCACAGAGATCTGCCTGCCTCTGCCTATTGAGTGCTGGGATTAAAGGTGTGCCCCACCACCGCCTGGCTGCAACATGGTTTTTGATCAGCCTCCCCACTTTCAGGCTAAAGCTATCTGTAATAGCACACATACCTGTCGCCTGCTGCATGTGTCTCTCTGGTATCTGGGTAGAAGATGTTCATGACCACCAAGATGTAAATCCTCTTGCCACTTTTCAGATGTATTAACAGATGGCTGCTGCCTAAAATGTAAGCTCTAAAACACACATCAATTTGTGTAAATGGTGACATAATAGTGAAAATACTACAGGCTTAAGTAATAGCCCCAAGTAATCTAAATAAGCCAGTGTTCTGATCTGTTATATCATAAAAGTAGAAATATTTCTTGTTACTATCAATCTTAATACCATCTGCAAAACAATCAAATTTTACCTATAAAACAAGGATCATATCAGTATCTATCTCCAAGGTTATTGTGAGAATTCAGTAAGACAATGCATACAAGCTTCTAAAAACATTTCGGCTATTGCTAATACTTCATGAAGGTAAGCTATCATTTTTAAAATGTTAGTATTAATAAAGATAATAACATTAACATCTTTGTTAGTAACATAACTCTAAAAAGCCCAGCTTACACCTTACTAAACTCTGCTCTACCTGCTTGCCGGCAGAGCCTGAATCCTGGATTTCATGTAAACCACATCCGTAGCACTCTGGATATAACTCCTTTCTCCATCTTTTATCTGTCATATCACATGATGCCTGCTCATAGCTCCTGTACTAAAAAACAACATAAATATCAATATAAATTGTCCGAAAAGGAGGATAACACCTACAGCAGCAGCTTATGTTGAAGCTTACAATGAAGACTGAAGTAGTTTTCAATCAGACTGGCAAACAGAACAAAAAGACAGTTTGCTTCTGTTCTTTCCCATTACTATTGGCCTTAACACTACATGTCTGAAGCGATTACTGCACTGCCTGTCAAGTCTCAGGCCCAAATCTAAGCAATTCGTTCTTTGCAGCACATTCTTCACTACATCCATCTCTACTTATTCTCCAGGACAGGCGAGGTCTCAAATACTGTGTTAAGCATGTGTACAGTTGTCCAAAGCAATTCCTCTTCCAATCTTCCATTTTTCCCAAGATGAAGTCCTTCTGATATACTTGATTAAAAGGGACTACAAAACTGTCTCAACAGAAACGATGGGCTCATTATAATATAGGAGAAAATCCTAGAGTCACAACAGAACAGAGGTGTGTGTGTGATAAAAAATTCCAAACATACAATGAAGTAGGAATAAAACAGTATAATGAATCCCTCATGGTCCCCTCACTAGCAATGTTTATTTTTTTCATCTACATCTTCTCCAACTTTTTATTTATTTATTTATTTATTTATTTATTTATTTATTTATTTATTTATTTATTTGTTGTTTTTTTTCGAGACAGGGTTCTCTGTGTAGCTTTGCACCTTTCCTGGAACTCACTCTGTAGCCCAGACTGGCCTCAAACTCACAGAGATCTGCCTGCCTCTGCCTCCTGAGTGCTGGGATCAAAGGTGTGCTCTACCACCACCTGGCTGTCTTCTTCAACTTTTTAAAAAAATTTACTTTATATGTGTAAGTGTTTTCCATTTGTGTTTGACTGAGCACTGCATGTGTACCTGGTGCCTGCAGAAGTCAGAAGGGAACACTGGATCTCCTGGAACTAAACTAGAACTATAGAAGGTTGTGAGCCACAGTGTGGGTGCTGGAAATTGAACCTGGTTCCTCTGGAAGACAGCCAGTGAGTGCTCTTTTTTTTTTTTTGTTTTTTTT